CGCGACACACACACACACACCTCTGACGCGACACACACACACACACCGCTGACATCTGACGCGACACACACACACACACCTCTGACGCGACACACACACACACACCGCTGACATCTGACGCGACACACACACACCGCTGACATCTGACGCGACACACACACACCGCTGACATCTGACGCGACACACACACACCGCTGACATCTCACGCGACACACACACACACACACACCGCTGACATCTGACGCGACACACACACACACACCGCTGACATCTGACGCGACACACACACACCGCTGACATCTCACGCGACACACACACACACACACACCGCTGACATCTGACGCGACACACACACACACACCGCTGACATCTGACGCGACACACACACACACACACCGCTGACATCTGACGCGACACACACACACACCGCTGACATCTCACGCGACACACACACACACACACACCGCTGACATCTGACACGACACACACACACACACACCGCTGACATCTGACGCGACACACACACACACACACCGCTGACATCTGACGCGACACACACACACACACCGCTGACATCTGACGCGACACACACACACACACCGCTGACATCTGACGCGACACACACACACACACCGCTGACATCTGACGCGACACACACACACACACCGCTGACATCTGACGCGACACACACACACACCGCTGACATCTCACGCGACACACACACACACACACACACACACACCGCTGACATCTGACGCGACACACACACACACACACCGCTGACATCTGACGCGACACACACACACACACACCGCTGACATCTGACGCGACACACACACACACACACACCGCTGACATCTGACGCAACACACACACACACCGCTGACATCTGACGCGACACACACACACACCGCTGACATCTGACGCGACACACACACACACCGCTGACATCTGACGCGACACACACACACACCGCTGACATCTGACGCGACACACACACACCGCTGACATCTGACGCGACACACACACACACACCGCTGACATCTGACGCGACACACACACACACACCGCTGACATCTGACGCGACACACACACACACACCGCTGACATCTGACGCGACACACACACACACCGCTGACATCTCACGCGACACACACACACACACACACACACACACCGCTGACATCTGACGCGACACACACACACACACACCGCTGACATCTGACGCGACACACACACACACACACCGCTGACATCTGACGCGACACACACACACACACACACCGCTGACATCTGACGCAACACACACACACCACTGACATCAGCCACGACTGACACACACACACACCACTGACATCTGACGCAACTCACACACACACACCGCTGACATCTGACGCGACACACACACACACCGCTGACATCTGACGCGACACACACACACACCGCTGACATCTGACGCGACACACACACACACCGCTGACATCTGACGCGACACACACACACCGCTGACATCTGACGCGACACACACACACCGCTGACATCTGACGCGACACACACACACACACACCGCTGGCATCTGACGCGACACACACACACACACCACTGACATCAGCCACGACTGACACACACACACACCACTGACATCTGACGCAACTCACACACACACACCGCTGACATCTGACGCGACACACACACACACACACCGCTGACATCTGACGCGACACACACACACACACCGCTGACATCTGACGCGACACACACACACACCGCTGACATCTCACGCGACACACACACACACACACCGCTGACATCTGACGCGACACACACACACACACACCGCTGACATCTGACGCGACACACACACACACACACCGCTGACATCTGACGCGACACACACACACACACACACACCGCTGACATCTGACGCAACACACACACACCACTGACATCAGCCACGACTGACACACACACACACACCACTGACATCTGACGCAACTCACACACACACCGCTGACATCTGACGCGACACACACACACACCGCTGACATCTGACGCGACACACACACACCGCTGACATCTGACGCGACACACACACACCGCTGACATCTGACGCGACACACACACACACCGCTGACATCTGACGCGACACACACACACCGCTGACATCTGACGCGACACACACACACACACACCGCTGGCATCTGACGCGACACACACACACACACCACTGACATCAGCCACGACTGACACACACACACACCACTGACATCTGACGCAACTCACACACACACACCGCTGACATCTGACGCGACACACACACACACACACCGCTGACATCTGACGCGACACACACACACACACCGCTGACATCTGACGCGACACACACACACACCGCTGACATCTCACGCGACACACACACACACACACCGCTGACATCTGACGCGACACACACACACACACACCGCTGACATCTGACGCGACACACACACACACACACCGCTGACATCTGACGCGACACACACACACACACACACACCGCTGACATCTGACGCAACACACACACACCACTGACATCAGCCACGACTGACACACACACACACACCACTGACATCTGACGCAACTCACACACACACCGCTGACATCTGACGCGACACACACACACACCGCTGACATCTGACGCGACACACACACACCGCTGACATCTGACGCGACACACACACACCGCTGACATCTGACGCGACACACACACACACCGCTGACATCTGACGCGACACACACACACCGCTGACATCTGACGCGACACACACACACACACCACTGACATCAGCCACGACTGACACACACACACACACCACTGACATCTGACGCAACTCACACACACACACCGCTGACATCTGACGCGACACACACACACACACACCGCTGACATCTGACGCGACACACACACACACACCGCTGACATCTGACGCAACACACACACACCACTGACATCAGCCACGACTGACACACACACACACACACACCACTGACATCAGCCACGACTGACACACACACACACACCACTGACATCAGCCACGACTGACACACACACACACACCACTGACATCAGCCACGACTGACACACACACACACCACTGACATCAGCCACGACTGACACACACACACACCACTGACATCAGCCACGACTGACACACACACACACACACCACTGACATCAGCCACGACTGACACACACACACACACACACACCACTGACATCAGCCACGACTGACACACACACACACACACCACTGACATCAGCCACGACTGACACACACACACACACACCACTGACATCAGCCACGACTGACACACACACACATTTAAAAAAAATAATAAATCAACTCCATAGCTGATTCCAAGTGATCAAGGGCTCGTTCCAGTTCAGCCCGTTGCAGTTTCCGCCAGTAGGGGCCGCTCGTGCAACGCAAGCACTGACACACACACACCCGAGTGAACGAGACGGAGGGAAGTTAGCGAGGGAAGGGCGTTGTGCGCGTCTCGAGCGCCCTCTTTACGCTCGTCCCAGTGCCTTTAGGTGTCCGTGGATTTGCCTGTATTTGGCGTCGAAAATGGAAACGTCTTTAGATGGAAAATCGATTTTACAATCGATTCAATGAACACACGTCTCAAATCGAACAGGATTTTTTCACAAAGTGACAGCCCTAACACACACACACACACTGCTGACATCAGACACACACTGCTGACATCAGCCACGACTGTGACACACACACTCCCTCTCACACACACAGCTGCGTTACACTTACAGTCTGCAGTGTTAGTGGGAACTTCTGTGTGAAATGAATGTGATTCTGTCCTTTTTACGGGACTTTTACCATGTTTGACTGTAACAGTCTTCAGTTCAGGGAACTTCTAATATTATCAGTGTTTGTAATGTACATGATGTATTTATTCAGTAGAAAACTAAACCTGTACTGTATAACTCTAAACTACTGTAATACTGTATAACTCTAAACTACTGTAATACTGTATAACTCTAAACTACTGTAATACTGTATAACTCTAAACTATTGTAATACTGTATAACTCTAAACTACTGTAATACTGTATGAACCCTTTGTTACATTGACTGTAATATCAGCTGTTGATCTGCGTTTCCATGGCCGCCGGAACCACACTGAAATAAACATTACATTTAAATAAAATTTACTTTTTCTTTGATAAGTTTTTGGACGCATATTTAAGTAAATTTCACAAATGGAATAAAGTAAACTCTACTTAACTTTAGTGAAAGTAACAAAGAAAATAAGTAATTTTAACTTGTCCAGTGAAAGGTTGAGTAATATCTATTTAGTTGAAGTTTCCTTTGCAATACATTTCACTCAAACAATATAACATTGAATTAAACCACACTTTTAAAGTATATGCTTTACTTAGAAACATCTAAGTAATTAATAGAATAGATATTACATGAAAGTTACACGTCTCGTGAACGCAGAGTCCTCAACACTGGGTGGATGACGGAAACATTTGATGGATCGTGTTTGAATGTGTAATTTTCAGTAGAAAATGATCAACAAATGTCACAAAATGGCCGTGTTACTAACAACAGAGCAGTGATGAAACAGTGGAAATACAGCTGGAAAACAGTGACAAATCAACCTCGTTCATATTGTTCAAGGCACACGCACACACTTGGGGCAGCACTAATATAGAATTTACTTAATACGATTAATGAGATTAATAAGATAATAATAATAAGATTACTAAGATAAGTGAATATATGGCGAAAGCCGATCTGGCGGAGGGAGTGACGTCACGTGACCAGCACCTCAGAACTGATCTGACACTCGTTAATGCGTTAATGCGTGTTCACTCCGACATCGGTGGGAAACTGAACTGAACTGTATTGGTTCCCGCGTTCCTCTGCCCGCGTTTGGCGTCTTGCGTTTCATAAAGAAAGAAAGCGACACTGCTCGAGAAAACAGCCCAATCTA